CGCAAACTATTGTTTGCATCACGGCTTTCTTGGGTACCTCACTAGGTTTTTTTGGTAGGAGTTGAGAAAGACAAGATGAATTTTAAGGGAGATTAGAAAGAAAATTTAAATTGCACTGGGGAGAGAGGGGGAAAAATAAGGAAAATTAGGAAAGACATTAAGTAGGGGGGTTGTACCTGAGCTGAGTCTTAAAGGAAGTTAGTTATTCTAAGAGACAAGTGTGTATGTGTGTGTATGTATGTATGTGTGCGTATATATGTAGGGAGTGTTGGGAGGGTGCAGTGAATTCCATATATAGAGGACTGCTTATTGAGTGGAATGAAGGCTTCCTATCTATAGGATTGAATGCCAAGCTGATAAGAAAGATTGGATGTAACATAGAGTTTATAATATGAAGTAAGTCAGGAAAGGAAAATGGGAGCCATATTGTGGAGAGTTTTAAATAGCAGGCTAAGAAATTTAGATTTTAACCTCTTTCCCCCCAGAAAAAATGTTCACAATAACCTATTGAGATCTTCCAACCAACATATGTTGAGTTCAGCTATTTGTCACATTCATAATCCTTATTTGCTTTTCAGTCTCTGTTTCTTCGAGATAATAATTCTCACCCTGACCTTATTAAAAAGGGCATCTGTTTTAATGGACATTGGCCAATCCAAGACGCTTTTATTCAACTCAAAGAAGTCTCTATTTTAGTGCCAAGGTTAACTTCAGACAGCTGTTTGTGCAGGCAGATGTGCTCTAGGCATGCAATTTCTACTCCTGATAACTGATGTCTGTGGAAAGCGATTAGACAATATGGGAGTGCTCTTGCCATGCAAGACCACCTTCAAAGAGTGGTGATACTTACTTCTTGATAACCTCAAACTCAACTTTGACTCTATTCCCATTTCTTTCCCCCTCATTTAGTCACCACATAGTATTAATTTGATCTTTGACATAACTCTTGAATTCATCCCTCTTTGCTGTTTCTATGGCCACACAGTAAGATTATAAATTTGGGATTGGAAAGGTCCTTAAAGGCCATAAAATCCAACCTCCTCATTTTATAGATGTGGAAACAGACCTAGAGAGATTAAATGATGTGCATAGGATCGCACAACTAGTAAATGTCTGAAGCACAATTGGAGCCCAGGTTTTCAGCTCTAAGTCTACCATGTTTCCATTGCAACACGATGCCTGTCTACTTTACCTTCAATGTCTAGCTCACTCCACAAGTATTGAATGAAAGAAGAAAGAGGGAATGAACATGCATATTATTACCTCCATTTTATATATGAGCTAACTGCAGCTCAGAGAGGCAGGGTGACAAAAACTTGTAAGTTTTGGGGCTTGGAATAACACTGAAATCTTTGTACACTAACACCAGTATTCTGTAGTATCTATGAGGACTTTAACTCATGAACTGTTAGGGGGACAGCATGTTGTATGTTCTGTTGACTAGTTTGTTACAGTGCCTATACATTCTGCTGCTACTTTGCAGTGCCAGGGGAAATAAGTGCCTTGGGTTATATAGCACAGAAGGGACTCCCACACAACTAATGAATCCAAGTAGAATGACCTGAGGTTGTGAGGATGGCGCTGGTATCTGCATAATTGATTGTTACCCAGAGTCTCATTGTAACTCCAGGGGTCAGATTTTCTGAACCCAGGTTTTTAAAAAGAGGGTTATGAGGAGAGCTGCATTTGGGGATTTCCCTCCCAGAGGAGGAGAAAGGATGTCTTAATGGATGGTGTTACTGGGCTAATGGTGGAATTACAAGAATAAACAATATCTCTTTGCACAATTGAATAAGAAGTAATGAAAATATTTCCCCCAAACTTTCTATGTAAGAACAAAGCAGCTGCTTCATTGGATCAGACCCAGGGTACAGAGCCTAGCACATGTTTCTAAAATGTCTATTTGACTTTTTGTTTCTCAATTTGGCCTTCAAGGTTTCCTCTGGTTTTAAATCTATGAATCAATGATCTAAGTCAATGATTCTCAACCTTTTTGGTCTCAGGTTTTGAAAGAGCTTTTGTTTATTTGAGTTATATGTATTGATATTTACCCTATTTGAATTGAAACATGTTAGTATTATTATGAAAATACTTTTGAGTCCCTGAAAGGGTCTCAAGTATCCCCAAGGGTCCCTGGACTAGACTTTGAGAAATGCTGATCTAAGTTATATTTTGGAAGGTTGTGATTCTCTTCCATCAGTCAATCAATGAATTGAGCTTGTATCCCCAGAACCAAGCATAGTGCTTGGCACAGAGAAGGTGCTTAATAAATACTTGTTAATTGACTGAAACAATGATAGTATTCAACTGAGCACCTACTATGTGCTAAACATGTGAAAGACACAGAAGAAGCAAAAGATGCTACTGTGTCTACTGTCCAGGACTCTATAATCTACCTGGAGAAGCAACACTTAGAACAATCAGGGTATAATAATACATCCCTTCCACCACCCTGCATTCACACAAGCCAGTCCCAGTGCCTGAAATGCACTCTCTCCTTATTTCTACTTCTTAGAATTTTTGTCTTCCTTTAAGTTTCATCTCAGCTGTGACCTCCATCCAGGATTCTCTCCCTTCTTTCCCCAATTTTCCCAGTAATGTAGGAAGTGCACACTTAATTGTGTACATTCAGCTCTTTGAAGCCCACAACTATCTTTTTTAAAAAAAAATTCTTTTTTATATCTCCAGGACCAAACTCATTGCTTTGCATTGTAGTAGGTCTTTTATTTGTTTGTTGTTTGGGTTGGTTTTTTTTTTTTGGAGGCTTTTTGGAGGGGTTAAGTGACTTGCCCAGGGTCAAACAACTAGTGTCTAAGGCTGGATTTGAACTCAGGTTCTCGTGACTCTAGGACCTATGAGCTATCTACTATACCATCTCACTGCCCCAGTGTGTGTATAATAAATGTTCCTAGAATAGTTTGTTCAAAAGGAGACAGTAGCATGTGGTAGTGCATTTTATACAGCTGGATGTTACTTACTCTTATTAAGAGACATAAGATCATAGGTCTTAGAGCTGGAAAGAACCTCAGAGATCTATTAGTTCATTCTTCCGTCTTGCAAGGGAAGAAACTAGCGCTTAGGGTAGTGGAATGGCTTGTGGAAGTCATTTACCTAATTTGGAGAGCACAGGGATTAGGACTGAGCTTTAGGAAGGTTGATAGGTAGCATGCTTCATCAAGGATCTTCTGGAATTGTGGTTGGCCATTGTGCTACTCAGAATTCTTGTCTTTCAAAGTTAAAGTCTACAACATTGCAGCTATTGAATAAATTATTTTCCTAGTCCTGCTCCCTTAACTGCATTATTTCACGTAGGACTTCCCAGATTTCCTCAAATCATCCCTTTCAACAATTATTTTTTAAAATTAATCAATACATTTTTAGTTTTCAACATTCACTTCCATAAGCTTTTGAGTTTTAAATTTTCTCCCCCTCCCACCCCGCTTGCCTCCCCAAGACAGCATGCAATCTGACATAAGCTTTACATATACATTCCTATTAAACATATTTTCACATTAGTCATGTTGTAAAGAATTAGAACCAATAGAAGGAACCACAAGAAAGAAGAAACAAAACAAAACAGAAGGAAAAAAGAGCAAATAGTATGCTTTGATCTACATTCAGACTCCCTAGTTCTTTCTCTGGATATGGATAGCATTTTCCATCATGAGACTTTTGGAGATGTCTTATATTCTTGTATTACTAAGAAGAGCTAAGTCTATCAAAGTTAGTCATCACACAATGTAGCTGTTACTGTGTACAACATTCTCCTGGTTCTGCTCACTTCACTTTGCATCAGTCCATACAAGTCTTTCCAGGTTTTTCTGAAGTCTGCTTGCTCATAATTTCTTATAGCACAATAGTATTCCATTACATTCATATACCACAACTTGTTCAGCCATTCCCCAATTGATGGGCATCCCCTTAATTTCCAATTCTTTGCCAGCACAGAAAGAGATGCTGTAAATATTTTTGTATGTGTGGGTCCTTTTCCTTTCATCAATTCTTATGATAGTATAGATTCCATTATATTCATATACCAAAATTTGTTCAGCTAATTCTTAATAGGGAGTGCCCTAAGGGGACACCCCACCTTAACTTTCAATTCTTTTCAAACTGCTACAATAAATATTTTTGTATAGAAGGGTTCTTTTCCTCTCTTTTATCTCTTCGGGGGTATACTTTAGTAATGGTATTGTTGAGTCAAGGGGTACACACACACACAGAGTTTCATGATATTTTTGGGGCACTTTGCCAGTCTGATGGGTTTGAGACAGGGCATCAGAGTTATCTTAGTTTGCATTTCTCTAATCATTAGTTATTTTTTCGTTAAGCAAATATCTTGATTGTGTCATGTTCCATTTTGTGCTTAAAGGCAGTCATTGCCTTTTGGTTTTGTATTATTCTGGTAACCAAGATAGGTATAGATTGTAATTCTAGATCCCATTCTGTTCTTTGTCACTTACTTGTGGAATATCAAGGTGACTTGAAAAGAAAAAGAAATAGAGAAAAGCCTTAGGCCATTGAATTAATGGTTATAGCAAATAAATTATGCAAGCAAACAACCCACTCCCCAAGGATGTATTTACAAAATGTCAAAACAACCAGTTGAAAGGAAAGAAAAATTCATTTAACCAGCAAGTTGCTTGAGCTACAGGATGTCTGACATGCAGCTTGACTGAATTTTCAAGTGAATTGACCCACTGGGCTTCTTGTTTTTCTTTTATGAGGATACAAACTCAATTTGAGTTGGCTGTATAATAGAATGGTCTCCACTGTGCAAACAGTGAAACCTATTTATAACATTAATATTGAGAATGGGCAAACAAGGGGAATAGAAGACAAGACTAGTATCTACAAAACAAGCTCACCATATTGCATCAGATGTTTATCATATGTATGAGTAGGATTGGGTTTAGGGAAGGCTTGGCCTAGGACCTGTCCAAAACTGCATTCTAACAAGCCATGATATGATTAGATTAAATTATTATCTTCTTTTACAGATTCTGGTGGAGTTCAGGTGTTGGCAACAGGAAAATCGACTGGTGTGGAAATAGGTAGGTCCCTGTCCCAGGTGTTTTTGTTATCAGTGGGAAACAAGGATGGGAAAAATTAAAGTAAATGCTGAAATCATAGTGAAACATACACAGTGGAGTGGTTTTGGGTTTATTTCCCCCAAATAAGCACAGATTATATCATGAATTTAAGGATGCAATCTGTGATCTGAAATATATGGAAAAAAAAGATTTTGGAGAATGTTATTGGCAATTATACAGCTTAGAAACTTCAGGTTGCTACTCAGGTAAGGGTTTGGAGCCAAGAGTGGGAAAGCTGCTTATTAGAAGTCATCACTGTCTCTGCCCTATCCTATCCTCTCTGGCTTGAGTGAAAATGTGAGCTCCTTGGTGCAGGGACTAGCTTTTGTCTTTGTACCCCAAGTCATCCAGTATGGTTCTGTGCATGAATTAAGTACTCAACATGTTTGTTTAATTGAATCTGTGCCTTTGTTTACCCCATTTTCTGCGTCCATTGTTAAAGATTGGCTTCTCCCATCTCTACTTATTGAAATCCTTCCCTTCTTTCAGGATCTTGTTTAGATGTCACTTTCTCCTTAAAGTCTTCCCAAATGTCCCCCAATCCCATCTGAAAGTGATCCCTCCCTTCTCAGATTTTTAATGAAGCTCTGTATGAGTCTCTCCTTTGAGCATCGTTGTTTGTATACAAGTCTCATCTCTCTTACTAAATTGTAAGCTATTTGAAGGCAAGAGCTTTTGTTTGCTATCTTTGTATTCCCGGGGCCTAATAGTCCTCTGTAGGTAGTAGGTATAAAATACATGTTTATTTTTAGTTTCAGAGGATATCTTTTGGCTTTAACATCTTTTAAAAGCACAATGTACCATTCTATTCTTTATTCCTAATGGAACAGATTTTATGTTCACCTGTCACTTGATTTTTGCTCACGTGACATTGGGCCTAGACAGTGGAGGAAGGGAATGGGGAACATAAGGGATGTATATAGGAAAACGACTAAATTAATAATTGCAAGTCATCAGGATACCAAAGAACTGAGGGAAAACTACTAACCTGCTTCTAAGTTTGCTTGAAAAGACTAAAAGGGGAAAGGGCGTTGGTCGTCCAGAGATAAGTTCCAAGCTCCACAAATCCGTTGCTTGTAGCATTTGCTTGCTCTCTGATGCTACTCTCTAGGGAGGCTCCACTTCCAGAGTCTCCTTTTCCCTCAACAATGGCCAAAAAAAATCACCCCCACTGAAACAGAGAGATGCATTGAGTCCATGATAGCTGTTTTCCAGAAGTATGCTTGTCGGGAGATAACTAACTCCCGAAACACCCTCTCCAAGACTGAGTTCCTGGCCTTTATGAATACAGAGCTGGCTTCCTTCACACAGAACCCGGACCCCAGTGTTCTTGACTGAATGATGAAGAAACTGAACCTCAATTGTGATGGGAAGTTAGACTTTCAAGAATTTCTGAATCTACCTGGGGACTTGGCACAGGCTTGCCATGCCTCCTTCACAGCATCTTGCCAGCCCGTCAAGAAAATGTGAATAGGCCTTCCAGCCAATTTTCCAAATACATCCTTCCTCCAAACCAGCAAATGTGCACCCATTCCTCATAGTCACACACTGACCCTAAGAAGCCAAAGCTACAATACAAGCCATTCACTTTGTAGCAATAAAATGTGATTTTTTTTTTAAAAAAAAATAAACACACAATTGAAAAAAAAGACTAAAAAGAATAATAATAATAGTCAACATCTATATAGTGCTTTAATATAGGATCTCTTTTGATCTTCCTGACAGTCCTGTGAAGTAGATGTTATTAATATCCCCATTCTACAGATGGGAAGAAACTGAGATTGAAACACACTAAATCTTTAACCAAGAGTCACACAGCTAGTAAGCTAGTAAGCAAAATCTGAACTGAGACTTTCCTGATTCCAAGAACAACATTCTATCCACTACACCACCTCATTGCCTTGAAAGGAGGTCATTTGAATGATAGGAAGAGAAGGTGAACTGGTCATATGGCAATGGTTATATGAGGGGTGACAAGCCAGACAGAGTGTTCTACTGGTACTCTCTTAATATTAAAGAAAGTAAAGGGTACACATTCTGTCAAGGGAGATAATGTGTGTGTAAATAAAATACATGTATATATATATATATTACTTATTATATATTATATAACATACATATATACAAATGAAAATATGCAAGTATATAAATTATATATTGCACTTTTACAGATTTTCAATTAACTATATGAAGACATACATATGTGTATATCTATATGTACACACATATATATCTATATGTACATATGTGTACACATAGTTTCCATGAACAGAATGTGCAGTCCACAAGAGCTGGAATTGTTTTAGCTTTTGCCCTTGTATTCCCAGTACCAAGTGCAGTGTCTAGCATATAATAGGCACTTAATAAATACTTATTGATTGGTAGATTGATTGAAAAATTGGTAGGGTGCATTGAGGCCATACTATGACGGGCATTGACAATGTCATACTAAGGAATTTGGTCTTTAGCTTTTTGATCATGGAAAGCACTGACAGATTTTGGACAAGGTTTAATGAGTTAATAGCAATTCTGAGCAGTCTTTTTATTTTCTATTTTCAGATATCAAATACGCTATCATTGGAACTACACTGGGAATCATTATCTCTGTTGGTTTTCTAGCACTGAAGATCTGTATGATCAGAAAACATATGTTTGATAATGATTCCTCAGGTAAGAAAAAGACAAGCTTTTGTTTTACTCAAGGGGGAGTTTCTCTGTTGCATCCCCACAGTGGTTCTCTGTTCTATAACTGTATCTTTGTAAGAAGAGAATCTGGGAACCATTTGGTTTTAGGGGAAACATTTCCTCCTAGGTCTCCTTTCAAAGATCTTTTCCTCTTTCAAAAACGTTTTGGCTTGGTGTCCCCAAAAATCTGGTCACACAATACTGTTCTCTTTAAAGTTAAATCTAGAGTGAAAATCAGAGAATTTATTCTCCAAGAGCCAACCCCTACCTGAAGCATGGCACTGTTCTACAATGTCCATATCAAGGGTCAATCCACCTTCTGCTTAAATAGCTCCAGTGGTGGAGAATTCATTACCTTACAAGGCGGTTTACATTGTTTTCAGACAGTTAAAATTATTCAGTCATTTTTCCTTATTTTGAGTGGAAATCTGTCTTCCTATAATTTCCCCCCATTGATTCTAGTTCTATTTGCTGAGGTCAAACAGATTAAAGTTAATTATCTTTCCCACATGACTATCTTTCAAATATTAGAAAATAAAATTTCCTCCCCCTCTTCCCAAATCTTTTTTTTTTAGGCTAAACATCCCCAGGCCATTCCAATTCATCCTCATATGATGCGGTTAAAAAGTCTCCATTGCCATCCTTATCATCCACCCACCACAACCAAGTAGCACCCTTTTCTCCCCATTTTCACCCAGCCATGAGCCACCTTTACACCAGTAAGGCTATTGACTGCTCACATAGCTTGGATATGAGTCAACAACTCAATTCCTTCTTGTGAGATGTAGAACCACCAAGCCTTATCTGTCCTGCAGATCCTTCCCCATAATTGGAGCTAATGACTAATCTAAGGCCTACTGAGCCTTACAATCTGCCCTTCCACTGACCCCTAAGGTCTTTCAGGATATACCCCCTGCCTTTTGTGCCCTGCAGGCCCCTCCTCCACTGTCATTGGACTTATTTAAGTAATTTTTTTTTGTTTGTTTATTTTTGGCTAGGCAATGGGGTTAAGTGACTCGCCCATGGTCACACAGCTAGTGAGTGTTATGTGTCTGAAGCCATATTTGAACTCAGGTCCTTCTGAATCCGGACCAGTGCTCTATCCATTGTGCCACCTAGCTGCCCCCTTATTTAAGTAATTTAAAGACCCCTGGTCTTTACCATATGCTCCTTTGTATAACTTCTAGAAATTCTGGACTTTTCTATTTAGCTCAGAGCTGAACTTTCTTTCCTGTGCTTGGATTCCCCAATTAGACTGAAATTCTTGACAGCAGAAATGTTCTAGCTTTTTCTATTTGTACCCCTAGGACTTGGTGCTTGGCAGATGCTAAACATTTAATCAATGATCTTTCATCCATCCATTCTTCCATTTATCCCCCTATGGATGTGCTTCAGCTTATCAATGTCCTTCTTCAAATGTGATACTCCAAATTGAACACAGTGCTCAAAAATCACTCTTACATTCTCATCCCTGTCATCTCACAGATCCTCCACAGCAAGTCCACTCATTGAAGAATTGTGGACTCTGGGTGTGATTTCTTGTCTCTGGGTCTTTTAACCTTGAATGGGGTACCAATGGAGCAATGCTACCATATCTGTTTGCTTTGCTCTTCATATATGACTGATAAACCTCTGTTTTGAGTCATATATGTCTGTGATGATTTCTTTTTTTTTAAGGATTAAATATTTATTTAAAATAATTTAATTTTTTTGGTTATTTGAATTTGAAAAATACCAAAAATATGTGGAAGCATTATCACATATAAAGAACAGAAAAGGATGATTGTATGTGAAACCATGAATCTCTATTATGTATAGCTTGTTTTTTAATAATAATAAATTTGATACATTAGTTTTAAAGGTATCCTATATCTTGTTGTCTTCCTCTGAACTTCTTTCTGTTTCCTTCTCTGCACTTTAAAAATGCTTCAATAATATTATTTTCTTTCCTTCCTTCCTCCTTCTCCTTTTTTGTCTTTTTCTTCTCCTCCTCCCTTTCCTCTTCCTCACTATCACTAGCTCCTTGATAATTTTTTACTCTACTTTTTGTGTACAATTCATTGTTGATAATATCAGCAGCTTATTTAAATCCACCATGCATTACCCCATTGCCTTTTGGGTGACCCACAATTTTGGTTATTCAGAACTGGTATTCAATGATCTACAGTCATGTGGCAACATCAGAAGCTTAGGATGCATTGAAAAGACTGATTTTCCACATGCAATCCAGTCCATTCTCCTTTCCTTCTGTTTAATTTTGGGTTCAGCTCAGTGTCCATCTTCAATAGCTGCATAAGATATAAGCTCCTTGAGGGTAGGAACTGTTTTAGGTTCTTTATTTTGCTTTCCTTTGTAGCCACAGTCTAACACTTAGTAGCAATAGGGATCAGATGTGTGATTTCATTGATATAGGAAACCAATGCACCTCCTAGCCATAGCTTTAGCCTGGCACAGTGAGAGGTTAAGTCACTTGCCCAGGGCCAGTATATGACAAAGGTGTGACTTAAGTTTAAGACTGGGTACTGGCTCTCTGTCCATTATATCACGCTCCCTCTTGACACATAGTAAGCATTGAATAAATGCTTGTTAATTGATTGATGGATGAACTAGTTCAATGGGCTATCCATCCAACTTCAGGTCTTAGTCTAGATCAGATCTTAACTTTTTGTGTGTCCTGGATGTCTTTGGCAGTCTGTTGAAGCCTATGGACCCCTTTTCAGAGTAACATTTTTTAAATGCATCAAATAAAATAGATAGAATTACAAAGGAAATCAGTTATACTGAAATTCAGTTATCAAAATATTTTTCAAAAACAGTTCAACAGACTCCAGGTTAAGAACATGTGGTCTAGATAATAGGCATTCTTTTGTTTTTTTTTTAGGCTTGCATGACCTATTTTTAATGAAGGTGTATTAGCTTTTAGTGATCATTGCTTTTGTTTCTAAAGGTTCACAAATTATCCCTTTAATAATATTATAGAATTTTTTCTATGCCAGTGAAATCATATCTCTGAAATAAGTAACAAGCAAATGAGATCAGAGGTTGCATTACTAAAGTTTTTAAGTTTGTTTGTAACCTGAAACTTATTTTCTGTAGAAATAAAGGGGAAGTTAGCAGGCACATCGCTAAAAGTCTATTTAAACCATAATATAGCTGAACATGACAGTACTAATATCTCTGTGGAAACAAATCATTTGTAGTAGGGATTCTTTTTTTTTGTTGTTGTTTTTAATTTTAATTTTTAGTTTTCAACATTTACTTCCATAAGATTTTGAGTTCCAAATTTTTATCCCATCTCGCCCCTCCCCCCACCCCAAGATGGCATGCATTCTGAATACCCCTTCCCCTAGTCTGTTTTCCCTGCTATTTCTTCCCCCCTTCCCCTTCTATTTTCCTGTAGGGCAGGATAGATTTCTGTACCCCATTTCCTGTATTTCTTATTTCCCAGTTGCATGTAAAAACATTTTTTTTAAACATGTGTTTTTAAAACTTTGGGTTCCAAATTTTCTCCCTTCCTCCCTCCCCACCCACCCTCATGAAAAGGCAAGCTATACATGTGCAGTTATGCAAAACACTTCCATAGTAGACATGCTGTGAAAAACTAACTCTATTTCCCTTAATCCTATCCCCACCCATTTATTCTATTCTTTCTTTTGACCCTGACCCTCCTCAGAAGTATTTGCTTCTGATAAGCCCCTTTCCCAATCTGCCCTCCTCTCTATCATTCCCCTACTCTCTTGTCCCCTTCCCCTCCTACATATAATTTTTTCCCTCCAACTACCCTAATATTGACAAAGGTCTCATGAGTTACAAATATCATCTTTCCATGTAGGAATGTAAACAGTTCAACCTTAATAAGTCTCTTATGATTTCTCTTTCTTGTTTACCTCTTCATGTTCCACCTGAGTCTTGTATTGGAAAGTCAAATTTTCTATTCAGCTCTGGTCTTTTCATCAGGAATGTTTGAAAGTCTTCTATTTCACTGAATGACCATTTTTTTCCCCTGCAGGATTATACTCAGTTTTGCTGTCTAGGTGACTCTTGGTTGTAATCCTATCTCTTTTGCCCTCCGGAATATTATATTTCATGCCCTGCGGTCCCTTAATGTAGAAGCTGCTAAATCCTGTGTTATCCTGATTGTGTTTCCACAATACTTGAATTGTTTCTTTCTGGCTGCTTGTAACATTTTCTCCTTGACTTGGGAGCTCTAGAATTTGGCTACAATATTCCTGGGAGTTTTCCTTTGGGGATCTCTTTCAGGAAGAGATTGGTGGATTCTTTCAATTTCTATTTTGCCTTCTGGTTCAAAAATATCAGGGCAGTTTTCCTGGATAATTTCTTGAAAGATGATGTCTAGGTTCTTTTTTTGATCATGGCTTCCAGATAGTCCAATAATTTTTAAGTTCTCTCTCCTGGATCTATTTTCCAGGTCAGTTGTTTTTCCAATGAGATATTTCAAATTGTTTTCTAATTTTTCATTCTTTTGGATTTGTTTTACAGTGTCTTGATTTCTCATAAAGTCACTAGCTTCCAATTGCTCTATTCTAATTTTTAAGGAAGCATTTTCTTCAGTAATCTTTTGGACTTCCTTTTCCATTTGTCCAACTTTGCTCTTTAGGGCATTCTTCTCTTCATTGGCATTTTAGACCTCTTTTGCCATTTGGGTTAGGCTATTTTTTAAGGTGTTATTTTCTTCAGTATTTTTTTGGGTCTCCTTTAGCAAGCTGTTAACTTGCTTTTCATGATTTTCACTCTCATTTCTCTTCCCAGTTTTTCCTCTACTTCTCTTACTTGCTTCTCAAAATCCCTTTTGAGCTCTTCCAAGGCCTGGAACTGATTCATATTTTTCTTGTATGTTTTGGATGTAGGAGCTTTGACTTTGTTTTCTTCTTCTGGTTGTATGTTTTCATCTTCTTTGTCACCAAAGTAAGATAATATAGTCTGACTCTTTTTGCGCTGCTTGCTCATGATCCCAACCAGTTACTTGAGTTTTAAACTCTTTGTTAAGGTAAGAATCTGTTTCCAATGTGGAGAATGTACTGAACCAAGCTTTGGGGGTTTGTACAGCTGTTTTCAGAGATACTTGTAGAGACCTGAAAAGTGTCAATTCTTCCAAGGTGCTATGATAAGGGGCGAGGCATTTCCTCTCCACCGTCACAACAAGCTCCACCACGCCAGCGCTCCTCCTCACCCCAGGACCGCCCCTCAGAACTGTGACCCAGATCCAAGCACGGGCAAAGCAAGAGATTTCTGCCTCAGCCCAGGTAAAGAGATCCTTGCAATCCCCCTCTGATCAGATGCCTGATTCCCCCTCAGTCTGTGGGCCGGAAGCTCAGGACACAGCTGCTGCCCTGAGGGCATGCTCTGGACTTGTGGCTGAAACCTAGCTTCTTCTCTCACCGCGGTAACAGACTTTTCCTACTGACCTTCTAAGTTGTCTTTGGCATTCATGGGTTGAGAAGTCTGGAAACCACCACAGCTGCCTAAGATTCAGTCCTCTAGGGCCTGCTCCAGGGTCGCTGTGGCCTGCGTGCCCATGCCAAACTGTGCTCCTCTCCCAGCCTGGCGTGATATACCTTTCTGATCAGTCATGCAGGTTGTCTTGGGCTGGAAATTTGTTTTACTCTGTTTTTTTTGTGGGTTCTGCTGCTTTAGAATTTGTTTAGAGCCATTTTTTATAGGTATTTGGAGGGGTTTGGAGGAGAGCTCTAGCAAGTCACTGCTTTCCCTCCACCATCTTGACTCCGCCCCTGATAATAGGCATTCTTTACCTGCTTAGTGTTTTCTTGGTGATTTGTTAGATGAAACTCTTTTGAGTGGTTGTGAATCTCATTTCAGAGTCTCTTTTCTTTTCCAGGGCTTGATAAAATCAGCACAATGTCATCTACAAACAGCAATATTGAGAATACTTTACTCTATAGAGGGACTGTCTCTGTAATTTGGAATCTGCACTGGATATGCTTTTATTATAGAGGCAAACACTTTTGGCATGCAGGTTTTTCTCTCTTCTTTTTCTATCTCATTTGTGTTTATCAGAATATGGTTGCATAGAGTCATATCTGCTATTACATTTGTCAAGGAATCCTGAATGGTCTTAACCTATGCACAGGAGGGAAAAACCTTGCTGGAATAGAGTGGAAAAGACTACATCTTCCTCCACTAAATTGAATGCTTTTAAAATCAACAAATAATGTGCATGATTGGTTAATATATGTTCTACATATTTCAATCATTTGCATTAAGGTCTGTGGTCTGCTGTAAAACACTATCTGCAGAAGGCTTTTTGTTCTCATCATCAAGGATGCCCTTGATATAAGAATATTCTCAAAAACATTTTATAAGGGTGAGAAAGTAAATGTGAAGTAGGAGTTCTTGATGTGCTCTCAGACTCCTCTATCAATAGTGATACCATCTGTGGTTCAGTGTCTTTCTTCCTTTCAGATATCTTGAGAATAAGCCCTCAGTGTGTGAATCTCCAGCACAGATCTCTTCAGTACATGCTTTGTTTGGTCCAGATTCTCTTCCCATCATTCTTTTCTCTATTGCCCCTTCTGCTTACCCAACAGCACGTGGAATACTCTAATATTAAAATCCAAACATGATGGCCCAACTGTCAATGATGGAGAGAAATATTAGCTATAAAAATATTGATAAATTTTCCATCTTTCTGTTGTCCTTTTTTCAGTTTCATCTTTAAATGCTTTCTAGATGATCTTGTTTCACTGTAAACTTTCTGCAAACCTACTTTTTTCTCTCCATTGCTTTTCACTGAGCAAGTCATTCAGCTTCTTAGTCCCTCCCTCAGGCAATTTGGTAAGAATCTACATTGCAGAGAAGGTGCTAGTCTGCATTAATAGAGAAAGTTCCTCACCAGGAGCTCTCTGCACTGATGACATAACGGTTTCAGTCAAAATTTTTCTTTTTCTCTCTCTGAATAGATAGAATTTATATATGTACATGTATATAATTATGCACATATATGCACAAAATATGTATCTATATCTATTTGTATATGCTTGAAAACATTTTGAAGGAGGGGGTATTTTACCTCTTGCTTTGATACATTTTTCTATATAGGAAAATATGTCATGGAAAATCCAAGCCAGTATCATAAAAAGGAAGCCAAAAAAACCTTGAAGTCACCTCGGTCAGCAAACACTTTATATTCTTGAGAAGTGGAAAGCTGTGGTGGCCAAAGGCAAAATTGATTTAGAATATGAGCTTATTTGTAAAAACTTACAGAGGAGGATGGTAGGAAATCATGAGGCAGAATTGCCTTGTAAATCAGTAAGAAGCAATGGAGAGAAAAATTAAGTTTGCAGTTAAGCAAGATCATCCAAAGAGCTATGTCTGTGTCTGTATCTATTTGTGCCTATGTCCATGGTCATGTTCGTGTCAAAGTTCATATCTATATCATATCTATATCCATATCCATATCCATGTCTATTTCCTTGTCTGCATCTATATCTTTGTCTATGTCTGACACTGTAATTTTTTCAGTGAAGGGAACTCCTAGTATAGAAACTTTCTCCACTAATACAGATCAGCATCTGCTCTGTAATTTATAATTTTAGAGAATTTTCTAGGGCATTGAGAGGTTAAGTGACTTACCTATGGTCACGGCTGGTCTATATCAGAGGCAGGACTTGAATCCAAGTCTTTTTGATTCTAGCACTAGTTAGCCCTCTGTCCACCAGGTCACACTGCTTCTCTGGAGTTATTTAAGAATGAGATAACATTATAATTCATCTGGCACATGGAAAATATTATATTGTATAATCTCAGGTGCTTCTAAGTAAGTTTATAATCTTCGATGACAAAACATTGATTTTCACTCCTTTTTAAAGAATCTCAGCATTACAGTTTATGAAACTCTTCTATTGTATTCAATTACATAATGAAATAATGATATATTTTTTAAAAAATGTGATCATGAAAATGTGGATGGAAGAGAATTATCACATCTCCGGAAAATAAGGCTATTGCATGTTTGAAACAAAGAGGAAGAGTCCTGGTACCTGAGAGACCTAAGCTGCTCTGCTACTTTGATACACTCCTTGATCCATTTGCATCTCTAAATTCATGTGGAACATGATTTGTCATAATTGCACAAGGAATCAACTATTGATTTTGCATCTACATATGTAAAGGGAGAGCAAAACAACCTCTTCATCATACATATGCCAGATTAGGTGCTTTAAATGAAAGAGGGGAGGGAAAAAATGGAGAGGAAAAATAGAACAAGAGCAAATAGTATGGTCTTGGCTTTTAAAAATTCCAAAATCTTACCCCTGACAACCAGGCTATGGAATTTAGATCCTGAAATTTATCAACACAATCATTACCACATCCAACAGGCAGGAGATAACAAGCCATCTGATACTTCCTCTTCCACTTTCTTCTGCCTCCATACCTGTTTCATCCTCCTCTCCACCCCAAGGACCCTTTTCTGAGTAGTTAAATTTGAGAATTCTCCAATCTCCAAATCCCACACAATTTTTCATTTCCATAACAGTGAGCACTGGCCACAAGAGACACTCTGCAGACTGAGAAAGAATTGTGATGCAAATTGTAGATGTTGCTTATCTGATACCCTATAACCCTCTTTTCAGATACAACCAGCCGAAGAAAGAACAACATAAGGTAAGGGTTCCTTCCAGCTTATGTCATTTAATGTGTTTTCCTCATCCTTGTACTTCAGGTCAAAGAAACCATAGATTAAATTCTACTAGGGGTAAGGAGATACAGCTGATGTAACAACAGGGGAATAGCTGTATGAATTGCAGAACATTATCGTAATGGGATTCTATAATGTAATTAAGACTGGCAGGTATAAGAAACAAAGAAATCTGGAAAGACTTTTAGGAATGTCTTTGTATTCCCAGCACTAAGCACAGTGCCTGGGACATAGGCACTTAATAAATGCTTGAATGAATGGATGAATATAATGCAAAGTAAAATAATACAGATTGAAAGGATGGAGTACATACTAACAACAACCTTATAAAGGGAAAAGGAAAAAAAAGCTCAAATGAACAAAGAATCTTTATGAAAACAGTGGGAGTAACCAAAAAATCATAATGGCATTGTGTATATTAAAAAACAATTCATTTAATTGTAAATAGTTTCAAAGTCACAATAACAAAAGAGAAGAGATGAGATTTGATGGAGTGAGAGCAGGGAAACTCAGCGCAGTTGGCCTATTTGAGGAATTAGGAGTTCTTTAGCTATTGATCTGATCTGTGAAATCGGACCTGGATTCATCAAGGAAGCAAATACTTGGCCCGGTCAGAAACTCCATTCAAATCGTGCCTTTCACTCGTACTTACTGCATGTCTGATCTTTGACAAGCAACAACATCCTGGGGCCTCAGTTTCATCATTACATGAAGGGAACATGGCCTCTATATTCCTTCCAGATCTATGATAAAAATAGTTAACATTTATATGGCACTTGAGGGTATGTAAAGCACTTTCTATGTTATCTCATTTGAGCTTGAGAAGTAGATGATATCATTAAGCTTATTTGATAGGTGAGAAAACTAAGGCCAACAGAGATTCAGTGACTTAGGGTCACATAGCTAGGCAGCATTCAAACTTTGCTCTTCCCGCCATCACTCTAACCATTGTGCCATCTGGCTGCCCATTATCTCAAGTCTTTCCACTAATGTTCTACTCAGTGTCTCATCCTAGCGAGAAGGTGTTGGGTTGTCAAAGGCTTTGCTGCAGAGAAAGCAGCTTTGATATGCCCTAACGCACTTGGACGGCTTTGAATATTGGACCGGTGACCAGTCTACCACCTAGACACAGCTCAGCTAAGTTTGAAGAGGCTCATTGCGAGATTGGGTGCCAGGAGAATGTGTTCTTCAGCTATAGCAAGTCTCAGAAGTCACCTGCCAAGTCATAAAAAGGTTGCCCTCTGCCTTGGAAGAGGGAGGGCCCACACTGGTGAAATAACCTACTTGAATCATTAAAGATGTATTTCCCAGGCCTTTTACTCTAGACTCTTTCAATCTCTCTGTATGAACAGAACTATTTTTCCTTGAGCAAGCAGGAGAAGAGAAGAGGGCATCTGCTTAGGATAATCTAAGATAGGTTCAGAAGCCAAGATCCTCCTTCTCTAGCCTGTTCCATAGCCTCCCTCTAACTAGAGCAATAAAGCCATTTCATCAAGTATGGTGTAATCAGGCCCTTGCAAGGTATGTGACTGCACAGGACACACCGTTGGAAAGGAGTCTTATAGCTTTCATCAACTTATGTCCTTCCATCTTCTATTACCTTGTCTGTGAAGATGCCTCTATTTCTTTTGCAAGATATAGTGAATTGGGTACTAGATTTTGAATCCAGAAGACCTGGGTTCAAATCCTACATCAGATACTTACTGTGTGACCCTGGGCAAATCACTTAGGCTCTCTGGGCCTCCATTTTCCTAAACTGTAAAGTGAGAGGGTTGAAATTGATGACCTCAAAGGTCCTTTCCTGCTCTAACTCTATTATCTTGTACCCATTCCCAATGCTTAGATCTCTAGACACAAAACAGATTCAATAAATGTTTACTGACCAAAGTTTGATAGATTTTAGTTAGGCAAGCATGAGGAGAGGAATTCTTGAGAGAATTCTTGTCTTGGGTTGAGCATGGGCTTGGTGACTTGGGAGTTGCTTTCCAACTCCCAATCTAGGATTCTGTGAATCATCCTTTCATTGTTTGGTTCTGTAGTCTGGGGCTGGGAGATGAGCAGGAAGCCAATTTTGGCATCGTCTCATGGAATTTTCAGAGGTTTTAGAAATTCATCGCTGCACCTCCACTTTCCAGTATAAATGCTATGGCACCACACTCTCTCATTTTCACCTAATTTCCTCCTGGAATACTGTAACAATATTGCAGGAAGCAAAACTTCCCTACACATGAAGAACCAATATTCGTGGCCATATTCCTGTCTGACTCTGAACAAAAGCTCCACGGCTCCCCAGTGGGAAGCCCAGGAAAATAGCTTTCCACACTGCAGGTGGCACCTGCTGCCTTACACTGTTGCTCAGTGCCTTCTATCGGCTCCGTGACGATTCTTGGGAATTCTTTCATTGGCTTCTCATCCTGAACTAATTTTTGGTTCTAAGGATCTAGGGCACCTTTAACAGACAAGCAGAGTGGTAACTAGCGATTTTAGCACCTAGGGCATGGTGCCCTGAAACCAGTTCTGTAATTCATGTTCTGAAAATAATACAAGAGATAACTAAGGCAAATTTAGCTAATGGGCAAAGTTGTGTAGAGCCTTAGGGGCTGATATCCCAGAGCTCTATGAGACTGTAACTGGGGGGAAGAAGCAGAGTGAAGTAACCTGGGGAGAACTCGTCTGAACTATGACTGTATAGGGGAGAAAGTGTACAATTTGGAAGCTTCCGACTTTAACTGATTATTCTTGGTCACTAGGTACAAAGTTCAGTTGTTTCTATATTGCTGAAGGAGAAAAAGTGCTCCAAAATGTAGCCATAACAAACTTTTAAAATGCTCATTCTTTAAAATTTTTGCATTTTCTAAATTGTGGTTCCCTGAGGAAAAGCTCTGGTTATCCCACCCTAGTTTTTCTTCTGCAAATGAGCATACATGTACACAGTGTACACAATGCAATATATGCATCGCATATGCACACAATACACATGTGTATGTGCATATGTGTATATATATGGGACAAGGGAAGAGAAAAAGAGAAAGAGTAGTATGGGAATATGCATACAGATACACGTGCATATATACATATATGTACATAAGTGTGTATATATATTAATGCATATATATGTGTATATGTGTATATACACACATATATGCATATTTCTTGTGTCTATCAAGTGACTCTCTAACTCTAGCCCCCCCCAACCCTAGCAAAGATAGTCATCTTTTTTGGGATTATCCACATACACAGACATGTATATACAGACATACGGCACAGTGGATAGAGCTGGTCCTAGAGTTGGGAAGACTCTTTCCTGAGTTCAAATCTGACCTCAGACATTTACTAGCTGTGTGATCCTGGGCAAATCATTTAACCCTGTTTGCCTCAGTTTCTCACCTATAAAATGAGTTGGAGAAGGAAATGGCAAACCACTCCAGTATCTCTGCCAAGAAAACTCCAAATGGAGTCACGAAGAGTCAGACAAGACTAAAAATGAATGACTGAACAACAACCACAACGTTTGTGTGTCTGTTCCCAAAGACTACTCTCTCTGCTGGGTGGGTGGGTGGGGGAGTCACTTGATAGAACAATCAAGTTCTATGCAGAAACGTTAGTCACTGAGTAAGAGCGACTGAGCGTGGCTGAAGTTGTGTCTCGACTATTGATGAGCTCGGAGGCTTTGGACAAGTCCTTTCTTTCCCTTGTCTTCCTCTGATCCTTTGCTCCACATAAGCTCAATAACAACATTTCTCTTAGTCAAGGGAAAGCTGTGAATATGAGGTAATTCTCATGAATGAGTTTAGGATATTAATTGTTTGAATAACTCTAAACTTCAGGATGCTTTTCTCTTCAGACACCTGGATGACGCAGAGAGGACACGGGTGTCGGGGTGGATTTCCACAGTTCTTCAGGGAAAGTTCTGTAGACAGCGACTGGCCTCTTGTAGTATTTTATGTCCTGGGTTCAGGTGTTGGTTCTGATCCCGCCGTTTCTACTCTTCCACTTCCTTTCTGGCTGCACAGTGCCCCTTCTCCTAATTGCCTGGCTAGCCAGCTCTTGACATTCTTCAGGCACTGGGCTCCAGCTGCCAGGGGATAAGTAGACGGCAGAAGGGACCTCGCCATCAGATGGCTTCATACACTTGCTGAATGCCTCACTTTCCACCTCAGGCAAATGTCAAAGTGAGGCCAATGTCTCTTGCCGATTCCGTCAGGAGAACTCCATCATCCCCATCCCCCACTTTGGCAATATTTTTCTAGGTCATTAGGCTATATTTCTATATTTAGCTAAGTATTGCTTCAGGGTCCTGACTGCTGGCATAAAAGAAAAGGCACTGGCTTTGGAGTCAGAGGACTTGAGTTCAAATCTCACCTGTATAATTTGCTATTTATGTGACCACAAGTGATTCACTCTACTTTTCTGTTCATAATTCCCCTCATTTGTAAAACAAGAGAGGTGGACTTAATGGCTTCTAATGTCCCATCCAAATCGAAATACACGATTATGTCATTTGCTTCATGTATTTACTTCAAGCCTGCAGGATATGTGACTTTGGGTATCCCCTCTAAGACTACCTGCCACTTCCACTATACATATCTTGTATGTATATAATTGTTTGGATGTTACCTCTTCTATTAGACTGAGTTCCTTGAGGGCTGACACCTTGTTTTTGCCTTTTTTTTTGTTTTCCCGGTGCTTGCCATACAGTAGGTGCTTAATAAATGCTTTTTGTTGATGATAGACCTGGTTCTGACATTGTACTGAAAATTGGTTGGATGCTATTTCTCCCTTCCCTCGAGGAACCCAGAATATTAAGAGAATTAGGTTGACTCTGGAGGGATGGAGGGCTTTTTCTTCATTAATTCAATTCAATAAATATTTCTCAAGGGCCTATGATGCACATTAATTATGTGTTAGGTGCTGGGGATATGGAGATAAAAGTGGAGTCACCTCTATCCACGAGGGTGGTAATAGT